TGTTCCTCATTAATCCCTGTCGAAGCACCCTCTGGTAGACCTTTAGACTGGTGCACCGGTGTCTGGTACACAGGTGTCCCAGGATTCTTTTTGTTTAGGGTGTGGTACACAGGGCAGTTCTCATAGCTACCTTCAGCCTTGTTGTATGTTGCTGCCAAGTTACTTTGCCCTAGAAAAGAGACAAGCTTATTCAGTACCAGAAGGGCGAATCCACGCCAGTGACATAGAGCTGAATCAGCAAACGAATATAACTTGTGCTAAATTTTCAATGACCCATTCATTTATGAACACTTCTTTGAAATTTCAGTTGTGGTGCAAATGGTGAAATGCCCTTCTGCAAAATTTAAGAGTAATCGCCGACATTAAAAATTCAGCAAAAGGACCATAAAACATATGGGTTTCCATAAAAGCAACAACAGAGCACAATATTACAGTTTTTATTAACCAAACTAATAATAATATTTTTATGAATGCATGCACAGTTGTTTATGTATATATTCGTACATTAATTTGCGCAACATCAAAATAAATTACGTTAAATGCACCCTCTTATCTGAGTAATGTATAGTAGCTGCTCGGAAGAGAAGTCACCAATGGTGCCTCACCCTGACCCCAAACAATACTAAAACAATTGAAAGAATAAAATATCATTGTTTCCTGCGACCAATTAGGAGAGACCTTGTGAGCAGCTCCTACGTACACTAATCTCTTATCTGTGTTGATGCCCTTTTAAAATTTGTAACAATTTAGTAGATGCAATGGCTGGTTTGCACGTAATGTAACGTTGACCATCTTGGTGGTCAAGAACAAAGCGATTCTCTCCTCTGGAAAGAAATATCCATTTCCATGTAAATTCTTTGTGAAAAAAAAAATTCTACCGTATTGACCACCAACATGGCCGCCTTGTCACTTGGTTGCAAACCAAGAATAACTGGTGATTATTAGGTCATTTATTTCATATACTCATTAAAGATAAATTCATGTGACATAATTTTATTATTCATATCACTATGTTTTCTTGACAATCCAAATTGATAGAAAATCAGTTGCATGGTACATACGATGCAATTATCATAGACATAAACTCACTGTTTTCATTAAGCAAGCCTTGATATGTTGATTGGTCTTCCTGTGCAATAGGTGACATTCTTGCTTTTGGTGTTTCCAACTGGATCTCATTGCCGGAGTTAGTTGGCTGACCATTAGATTGGTACACAGGTAACTGGTACACAGGTGTCCCAGGATTCTTCTCGTTTAGGGTTTGGTACACAGGGCAGTTCTCATAGTTACTTTCAGCACTGTTGTATCTTGCTGCCACGTTGCTTTTCCCTAGCAAAGAAATCAGGGGGGAAATGTTATTATGGGGTTTGCACAAAAGTCCCTCCTAAGTCACTAACGGCTTTCTTCTAGGCACCTCTTTATCACTGATAACTTGAAATAGGCGTATCTCAGAACCTCCCGAAGCTCGGGGGAGGAAGCCTGTTAAATTTTAAGAATCGGGGGAACGAGAGAAATATATTAGGTAACTGGGAAGGGCGGGTTTCAATAACGGCTGCAATATTGCAAGTAGAGATATACTCAATCTCCTTTAGGTTGGAGTAAACATGAACTGAGTGCCCTGGCTTTGAAAAGAACATAATTATGGGATTTTAATGGGGTTGGCTATTATTAAAGCAGCGTAGCCAATGCAGGCATCGTATTTACCCTAATCACGTCAGTTTCACATTTCTTCTACATGTATATGCTAAGAAACCTTTTCCATCTCAATAAATACATCTATGTTTGATAATTACAAACTATAAAAAAAATCTGCCCAATAATAACTGAATAAGACAAGCACATTAAAATTAAAACGATTAAAAATATAATTAGATATAAAAAATGATGAAAACGTTTAATTTTATTATATTCTTTCTTTGCAGTCCAAATTGATCTCTAGGAAATCAGTTGTATGATGCACACGATGAAATAATTATAGACAAAAACTCACTGTTGTCATTGAGCAGGCCTTGATATGTTGGTTGTTGATCCTGTGCAATAGGTGATGTATAACTTTCGTTTGTTGTTTCCAACTGGATCTCATTGCCTGGGTCCGCATATTCAGGAATCTCAACTAAGATTGAGCTATAAAAATCCAGACCCATTTGCAACATATGAAACTACATGAAATATACAACTATGTAACATTTTAAGAACATACGCAACAAATCAAGGGTATTAAAGTAAATTAATAAGTGTATCAGTTTATTAATTTTTTTCAAAGAATAAATGAATAACTTTTAACCTGTCGAGATTCAGAATTACAAAAAAATGCAAAGAAGGGACTAGTAGTTTATCAAAAGTAATAATCAAGTTTAGTAACCATGCAGTGATTTAGGTAAAGGCCCTTTTAACACTTGTAGAATCAAGTCGTAAAGACTGTTTCATTAAGTAGAATCGCACGTATTAAAATCTCATGAATATTGATGATGCAACCATCTACAATAATGAAGAAAATCGTGATATTTCTAAGCGCTTCGATATTCGATGAGGCATATTATCTTAGAAACCTTAAATAAACCTTTGAGACCTTGTCTCTAAACAGCGTATCCGTTGCACTATAAAAATCAATTTATTTTCTACCAGATGTGAGAAGGAAAGACAAAGAAGGGTGAGTCTAAGGGTGAGTCATGTCCTGTGCACAGCGTTTTGCCTTTTCATTCATGTACAGTGATAACCAATTTCACACCAAAAAGTAGACTGAATTTAGGGTGAAAATAGCAGGACAATCCTGAATGTCGCGAATCCTTTACTTGGCGCTCCGCCCAAGAAAGAGGTGACAGCTAATGAGAATCGAAATAATGGGAAAAGGAAGTAAGATGAAATCTTGGCTGTGGATGTACGTCAACAAGACAACTTATCACTGTCATTTAAATAATTCAGACATCTAATTACCCTGGCTTCCTCCGTTTCCAACAAATCACAATGCTCAGGACGACCAAAATTCCAAGAACTACACCACCACCCACAGCAGAACCAATAACAATGCCATTATCATTTCCACTCGTATTTGTTNAATCGCACGTATTAAAATCTCATGAATATTGATGATGCAACCATCTACAATAATGAAGAAAATCGTGATATTTCTAAGCGCTTCGATATTCGATGAGGCATATTATCTTAGAAACCTTAAATAAACCTTTGAGACCTTGTCTCTAAACAGCGTATCCGTTGCACTATAAAAATCAATTTATTTTCTACCAGATGTGAGAAGGAAAGACAAAGAAGGGTGAGTCTAAGGGTGAGTCATGTCCTGTGCACAGCGTTTTGCCTTTTCATTCATGTACAGTGATAACCAATTTCACACCAAAAAGTAGACTGAATTTAGGGTGAAAATAGCAGGACAATCCTGAATGTCGCGAATCCTTTACTTGGCGCTCCGCCCAAGAAAGAGGTGACAGCTAATGAGAATCGAAATAATGGGAAAAGGAAGTAAGATGAAATCTTGGCTGTGGATGTACGTCAACAAGACAACTTATCACTGTCATTTAAATAATTCAGACATCTAATTACCCTGGCTTCCTCCGTTTCCAACAAATCACAATGCTCAGGACGACCAAAATTCCAAGAACTACACCACCACCCACAGCAGAACCAATAACAATGCCATTATCATTTCCACTCGTATTTGTTCCCTTGTCACCTGGGCCACTACTGGTGGCAGAAGTAGAAGACACTGCAGTTATAACGGCCTAAGAGGGACAAAAAAATATGTATATATATCTAGTATGTGCTACATTAGGCGATTATTTTCCGACTGCCCAATGGGGAATAAAATTTTTAACGGTTAATTTTTGGTTTTACTCTCCTCGCAGCTTTTGATTTCGCGACACCCTGTCCAAAAATCAAAGTTTGGTGCATGCGCAGTAACGGGATATTGTTCCTTTAATTTTTGGTTCACCATTGATGATTTGTATGGTTAATTAATAATCATTGACAAGGTCAGCTTACAGATCAAGAGGTCACAGATCCTCTCCTACCAAGTCACTATTATGTATAGTGACAAATAGATGTATTGATCGATATATAATATAAATGTTATGTTTCCTTGATAGGGAGAGAATTAACACAGACCTACCTTTGATGGTTTGGCTTCTACACTGGTGGATTGAAATGGGATTCCTGTGGGTAATGTTTTTGGGGTATATAATTTTGCAGTTGGAATTTGCGCAGATGGGAAATATGAAGAAACTGAATGTGAAACTCCCGATGTTATTGTACTTAGAATCACAATTAAAGATGGTGATGGTGACAATGTAGATGACGTGAACAATATTGGTGATGATAGTGGTAAATGTGATGACAGTGATGACTGACTAGTAGTTGTTGATGATGTCAATGATGATGACAATAATAATGATGATGATGTTTGTGTAGATAGTGAAAAAGAGGGTGGAAGGGGTGATATCACTGATGACGATGAAGAAAACAACATAGATACTGCGACTGATGAAGCTGATGATGAAACCGTAGGAGTAGGTGGGGCATAATCTGTAACGAAAGACAAAGTAAAAAGAAAGAATTAACAAATTTGTTGTCATGAGTTTTCAGACAAGATACTTTAATTTTATGCCAATACTATTGGGCTGCCTGTGGTAAAACCCAAATCCAATTCTGTGTTTTGAACTGAGTAGTCTCTGATGCAAAAAGATAAAATGCTGAATGGATCACCCAGAAGGTAATGTATCTGTCCCTTCTCAACTATGGGTCCAATCATTTGACTTTGAGGGATCCGAGGGGTAGGGCATTTCAGATTAATAATAACTCTGACAGACAGAAAAACAGAAACATAATTGCTTGGCGTTATTAATTACAAAAAGTCCATATAGTTGTGGCCTTGTGAGAGTAGAGTCAGTTGTACGACAAATGGTTTCAGTATGTACTGGTTTTCTTTAAACAATTATCATTAATTCATAGTCTGTTGATGTCAAGAGTGATTCAAGTACATTTTAAATTAATGAACTCGCCAGTATATATACATTATATCAGGAAAAATAATGGTGAAAAATGCTTCTGTTTAAGGTAACGTTTTCATTGAAAAAAAAAAGGTAACTCCAAGCTGGAGAAAATGTGTCTGTAATTAAAAGAAACTGTTAGGATGTTGCCAACAAATTAAAAAGAAAATATACTTACAAGTAACAGCTCCTTTCGCTTTTATAAGGAAACATGGTGTTGAGCTTGAACCTGTTGCATTGCTACAAGTAATAGGAATACGGATGATCCTGCCAGACAGTGTTCCATTGCTGTCTGCTTTCCACTAGAAGATAAAAGACAGCTGAGACCTGATATTGTACACAAGGTTCATGAAAGTGTTGATCAAGTTAGTTATGCATTTGTTTTGTTATAGTTACTGCATGCAACCCTTTATTGATAAGAACACGTAGATGCTTTACAAGACAAGGCTACCAAATATTGATCACCTGATCCTCTGAACTGGATCAAGAAGGTGGTAATCACAGCCACCATAAAAGCCAGGTTGGTGGTCTGATGAGGGATTGAACTGACAATTAAAGATCAGTAATAGATTGCAGAGAAAACGCCCACCTACCCCTTCCCTATTAACACTCACTTCTTAATTAGCGCAAAATGTTAAGATCTATTAGGCGATCGAGGGGAAACTTAAGGTGGGTAGTTTCTCAGATTTAACTGTATGATGAACTAACTGGTTGGGGGGGGGGGGTTAATATAGATTTAACTGTATGATGAACTAACTGGTTGGGGGGGGGGGGTTAATGACTGAGCAGCTCAACATTACATGATTTAACTTTTTGCCAAACAAGGTGATGTCAACCATAGTTTGTAATTGCCTTCTAGAACAGGGTGTGATAGGAACTTCTGAAGATTTTCAAGTGTCACTGTATATCAGCCAAAATCCCTTGAAAACATGGGTATATCCTAAAACCTCACTGCTTGCCTAACAACACAAAACAGGTAACACATCCTTAACTTACATTACTGAAAATTGAGTGAAATAAAATTAAAGCTAAACTGCATTTGGTATCACAGTAAATTATTGACTATGATAATCAGCAGCTCTTACATTAAGATTAAATTTGCCATTCCCACTTGTCATAGTCAGATTGAAAAACCTGTTGCTGATGGTTCTCCACCTACTCTGAAAGCCACTGTTGTCATGAACAGAGTATTTTTTATTAAAAGTGCAGCTTGTTGCTTGTGTAGCTGAAAGTGACACTGAACTTGCTATCATCAGATCCATTGGCTGCTGCTGTGGGACTGCTTGGAAAGACAAAATGGGGGGGAGATTTAGATACTCATCACAACCTGTAAGTAGAAAAATAAAACATGTTAGTCTCATCGAGTACTTCATAATAAAAATATTATTTTAATGCCTATAAGTTGTAAAAGAAAGAGCTACAACTTTATGTCAAACATTAAAAAATGGCCCCAGATCATTACATAATGACTTATTAATCAAGTAGTCATGGGGTTCCCAAGGTAAATTTGTTCATGGTCAGTAATGGTAAAGTTTTCATCAATGACCCAACAAAGAAGGCTTCCTGAACAGACAGATAAAATATAAATGCTACATTAAATATAACAAAAAAAAATGTGCTCCGGGTTACCCAAGCTCAGATGGTCTCCTATATGACCCATGCTTGAAAGAATTAACTGAAACACTGAAAGAAAATCATTTATTACACCAAGGACTTCATTATATAGAGGTTTGTTATATCGTGGTTCCAATTTGGTAGATTTTGCTGTCAGGCTAGTGAATTCGACTGTTCTTAACTTGCTCGACAGGTATTAAAAAGTGATATTGTCTTGCTGAGGGAGCCATTAATTCAAATTACAGATGTATTCACTGTACGTAGCAATCAATGATTGATAAAATTTTTTTCAGCCTACAGTCAACTCTCGCCTTGCGGACACCCCGCTATAACGGACACCCCGATAATACGGACAGCAGATAAATTCCGGGTAAAAATAAATTACAGACATTTGACTGAAATAAACTCCGCTACGGACTCTCGCTACAGATCAATTTAAGGTCCCTACAGTGTCCGCTATATAGGGAGTTAACTGTAGTTGAAGTGAATTCTGGGCTAGTACGTGCTAGATGCAGTGCCCAAGGCTGGAAAACTGTCTGATATTCTTTGCACCCTTAGACTCAGGGGTGGCCAGCAGCTAAATTGTGGGCAACTTTAATTTTCATCTCATGTCAACACAGTAATCCCAGGCACTTTTTAATTTGCTAATAAGGAATCTTTTTCTTGTAGTTAGTGATCATGAGAACAAAAAAAAGCAATTATGATAACAAATTAATCTAGCAATAGTACTTTGAAAGCCAAGGACAAACATGTTCTAAATAAATGTAAGTTTGGAAAGTGTAGCAGCTACAATTAAGTCATTAAAAATGTATGAAATAAGCTAAAAAACGGTTTTAAAGTTGCCAAATAAGCCCCAACCAACAGTGAGGTAGTTGGTCTCTATACTCATTTATACAATGATGTGAATGCTACGTACGCATGCTGTGATTGGTCATTGCACATGATCTGTTAGAGTACAGATACATCTAAGATGTCACTCCCTGAGAATGCCTTGCTACAAGAAATCCTCACACAGATGTCATTGTGTGTCATTGTTATGAGATCAGAGACTCGCTGTTTTGTGAAATGTTTAGCCATTACTCTGCTTTGAGCAGCAAAAGAGGTTAAAAACTTTTTGCGGAAACTGTGTAAAAGTAAGATATAAAGAAAAAAAAAGAAGCAGAGATCAAAAGTTGCCTGCATGCAGACGTCTTCAATTTCCTTTGTTGCGCGCGGAAAAGGGACGTCTGCGTAACACCGCCACTAATCATGTTCCAGCGTCATGCTGGCAGGGTATTCTATTTCACATAAATTGTGAAATAATATCCCGTTAGAAATAAGAGTTGACATGCCTGGAAGAAAAGTTTGAGTCATTACAGCATTAACTGACACATTTTGAAAAATATATTAATTGTTTCAACAAACCAGAACCAAAGAGAGAAAAGAGAAGTCTATGTGAATGATTGACTTTCTCCAAATTCTCTTTTTTTAAGTAGGGAAGTCAATGTTCCTTTGTGTTCCTGTGTTCGTGTTAGAACTCTTTGTCATATCTTCGGAACTCTTCGGAACGCCTTAATCGGACATCTGCGGATATTATCGGACCCCTACAAAAAATCTTGGCATTCTTAAGTTAAAAAATGTCACGCCTATAAATGTAACAAGGTTGGCAGGTGTATGACAGCTGTTCAAGAAGAGCAAGTAACAAAATGACAGAACCCAAAATAGTTCTTTCCTAATATAAGGAGGTAATATTAATTTTTCGAGCTCAACATAGGCCTGGATGCCTTTCAGTCTCTCTTTATCTGCTGGACGCACATGCATGCTTTGACAGTTACCCTTCAAGGTGGGTAGCCCGGTCTGCTAGACGGGGTACCCCGCACAGCTCCGGTCAAATTTTGCCATGATGTCAATGTTTCAAGGTGGGGTAACCCAGGCTAGTCGAGGTCGGATTCGTGATACATCAAATTTGCACAAAATTCACTTTGGCGGTGGCTTCACATAATTTATTATTAAAGGTAACAATAGAAAGCACATTGTTTACGTGCTTAGGGACCATTCAATAATCTTGAGAAAGTGCACCTCAGGATGGTGGGGTTGTAAGATTGCATGTAAAGGAGGGTTATTTTTTACCCCACCTAAGCAGGTTACCTCACCTACCTGGGGTCTCCCACCTATATGTTAACAGGCCCTAACTCTCAGGAACCGTGAAACTGGTAATAAACAGTATACCTAACCCAGGACTAGCTGTGATACTACTTCCATCTTCAATAACGTCTGCATAGCAGGCAAAGGAGCCATATCGCTGTAACACGAATATAAGATTGCGCTTATTTCATGCATCTCATTTTGTGACTTTTTTGTGTTCGTTTTTGTCACCATCTCCAAATGGGGATCCAACTCGCGACCTTGCGCACCGAAGGCTGTGCACTAACCAACTGTGCCACCCCTACTCCCCCCCCCCCCCCCCCCCCCCCCCCCCCCCCCAAGGACGAGGTTGGCATTTTCCTATTATCTCAAGGACAGGGTTACCAGCAATCTAATCTAAGCTGCACAATTACAAAGTGGGCGTGTTGTCAGTTACAGTTCATGAGGTTGTTCATGTGGCATGTCAAAATTTAACGATATTTTCTTGTATTTGGGAAATTATGACCAAGATGGGATTCTATCGCGTAGGATGTGATATGTTTGGGTTTTATGTTATTGTATTTCATCTTTGAAAGCTGGCTTTGTGATCTGTTTAAATTGATATGCGATAACATTATCCCTGGAAAGTCTTTAATAGCAGTGACGCTGATAGCCGCACAGTGAACATGGCCACACTTTAATACCGTGTGGAGACTGGGCAGTAGTCAGTATTGTGTACATGTAAAACTATTTTGAATATTAATAGTGTAACAACAACTAAACATAACCAAATTAAAAACTTAAAAATTTGAAACAAATGTTTTTTAAGCCAAATCAAACAAAAAGAGTACTCACCACAGGGTACCCAATCAGCTATTATAGGTAACAGTTAATCCCCCCCCCTTTTTATCTGTAATTAGGACTGTTTATAATGGTCACCCCCTCTAGTATTAATCAGCAGGTGCTAAGGAAGCTCCAGTTGTGCCACATTTGACACTTGTCATGTCTGTAACGATCCCGCCTATATTTTGCACTAAGAGACCTGACTATGCCGTGTTTTATTTGCGAAAACTGACTACAGCACAATGATAATGATGCAATCTGATGAATGAGGCCCTGTTAGGGGTAAATTCCGACAAGCGACATGGCCTTGAACCTGGCGACATGAGAGCCACGAACTAGCGACGACCGACAGACTATTGCAACGAATTAGCGAAAGCGACACCAATGTCAAGACTGTCTGACAGCGAATTTGTAGAATTTTGAGAATTTGAGAATTGACAGAATTGTGAATGTCCTGCAGAACATTTGCGCGTACACTATTCGGTAGTAATTACTTAATAATGATCAATAATGGCTAATAAGGGTCCAATAAAGGCAAGCAGAAATACGTCTCATTTTACTGCTATTTTGATTGTTCATTTCATTTGATTGACATGTTCAATGCATCACTCCCTTTGAGGACTTTGCCGCTTTGTGTATCATGTTCTCCTCCTTGCATTATTGCATGATCCACGTGCGTGCTCCATCAATCTGTTAGAGAGTTTTTTTTTCTTTATCGATCGCTTTCATCTCGGTGTTCCAAATGGTAAGCGAGTTACAGTGAAACCTGTATTAACAAACACCCTTGGGGAATGCTGTAGTGTCTGTTTAATAAGAGGTGTCCGCCTAATACAGGTTTTGATAGATAATGTCATATGAGGTGTCAAATGCCATTCAAATGAACAGTGGAAGCATTTAGAATACTCCCAGAGACTATGACAATATACGTTTGCATTAATTTCTTTATTAAAGATGATAGTACCATACCCATAGATTGCAACTCAAATTTGAAGAACTCAGATGAGTGAAACAAGCTCTATAGAAACAAAACGAAATAGAAAACAACACTGTACTGTGAAACTAATCAAATAAGTTCGTCAAGTGACGTTTTTTAAAGTAAAAATATTAACATTTGTGTGTGGGAATCTTTCGCATTTCCGGTGTCTGGCATGTTGGGTGGTGGAATTTAATTACAAGTGTCCGTTTAATACAGGTTAATTGGCAACAATAGAAATGACCATTTCAGGTACTTTCTAGGTGTCCGCGTCCGCTTAGTAGAGGTGTCCGCTTAATAAAGGCTTCATTTAAAGTAAATAAGGGAAATAAATTTGGGGACCTCGGCTACTGTCCGCTTAATAGAGGGTGTCCGCTTAATACGGTGTCCGCTTAATACAGGTTTCACCGTATTTGCGCCCACCATTTGCGAGTCATTGAAGCAACTCACTGACATTGGCTTTGTCTACTACACTTCCCCACACTCTTATTATGAAGTACCAGATAAGATGAAACTCCCGATTCGAGACCTGCCTTCTTTGTCTGTTCCATTGTCAGTAGAAATGGCAAAAGATGACCAGAGGTTGATGAGAGACTGGAGGGACAGCTCTGGTAAACCGGTCCGTCAACTGACCGTTCAAAATCAAAGTACCAAGGACAATGTAGGTACACTTCCATTGTTCGCATACGCAACACCAGATCAGCCTCCAAGACCATTAGATTTTTCCACCACAGACGACCTTAGCTTACAGCTAGAGAAATAGTGGTCACAGAGATTGAGCAGGAAGTTGTCAGATGAGCCATTTTATTTGAGGCCAACAGTGTTGTGCTCGTCAAGCGCGACCACATACGTGGATACCCGAACAGGGGACCCTTCTTTGTTGGAATTATCGTAGCTGATGCCACCGACAAGGAAGAGAATTCTTTTTGTGATATTGAGTTGTTTGTTTCTTCATTTTTTTGAAGACTGTCTGTTGTTTACTTTGAATGAAAGCGTACGAATCCACGGAGATGCTATCGTCAGTAAAGTGGGGGAAGAGCATTTTGAAAAAGGGTGCAATTTTGTGAAATTGACGGAGGTATAATACGAGACATTTCTTCGATACCAAAATGACGTGCAAGACCTTTTGCCAGCCAAAGAAGGCGGTGAAGAGGACAGGACCTCAACTCTGATGATGATGAAAACCCAGCAGACGTCGTCTCTGGAGGAATGCCACTTCGCACAACATCCGGGAGAACTGTCATCCGCCCAAATCGGCTGGACCTTTAGTTCATTTTTCACAGACTTCTTGTAAACGCATGCCTTACAGATAATGAATGGTTGATAATGTCCTTCCTCCTGGGTTGTTATAGTTACGGGAAAGCACAGTCTGACAACTAAATCAGAGTTTAACTCGGAAGAAACATTAGACTCTTGCACTACCAGAATTTTAGAAACGTTATGATAGCTCGAGTGTTTTGCCAGATTATCGATTCACGCCAAGCCATTTTAAAATATCTCTACACTTGTATAGTTTACTAAATGGAATTTTATTAACTTCAATTACTATTCCAAGAAGTCAGAATGAATCTCGAACATTTACAAAGGTCTTAAAACCCTGGGCTTAAAAGTACTAAAGATAGAGGCCGTATGTTCCGTTGGCGTTGTTGCAGCGAATGCGGATTGTCAGACTGGAAACGAGCTAAAAAATTATTATTGTTATACTACTACATGAGAAATTTCTGCAATTTGATTGGCTTAGAGCAGTGGTATTTCAGCTTAATTTGAAATACCTACATGTGAAAATTACAAACCTCTTGCGGGTAGTAGTATAAACAAATAATAGCATGATTTGTACGTGATATTTGGCATAAATACCACTCGTGATATTTCAAAATTAACTCAAATTTCACTCGCCTAACGGCTCGTGAAATTACGTATAACAGTTTCGAAATATCACTCGTGGTATATATGCCAAATACCACTACAAATCATGCTATTACCTATACAAATTCCGACAGGCGACACGAAAATGTTCCGAAATTGCGACATAGCTGGCTGTGAAATTCAGACAGGGGANAGAATGAATCTCGAACATTTACAAAGGTCTTAAAACCCTGGGCTTAAAAGTACTAAAGATAGAGGCCGTATGTTCCGTTGGCGTTGTTGCAGCGAATGCGGATTGTCAGACTGGAAACGAGCTAAAAAATTATTATTGTTATACTACTACATGAGAAATTTCTGCAATTTGATTGGCTTAGAGCAGTGGTATTTCAGCTTAATTTGAAATACCTACATGTGAAAATTACAAACCTCTTGCGGGTAGTAGTATAAACAAATAATAGCATGATTTGTACGTGATATTTGGCATAAATACCACTCGTGATATTTCAAAATTAACTCAAATTTCACTCGCCTAACGGCTCGTGAAATTACGTATAACAGTTTCGAAATATCACTCGTGGTATATATGCCAAATACCACTACAAATCATGCTATTACCTATACAAATTCCGACAGGCGACACGAAAATGTTCCGAAATTGCGACATAGCTGGCTGTGAAATTCAGACAGGGGACATGGGCACCCCCACCAACAGGGCCTCATGAATGCTAATATGATGTATGCTAAATAAGCTCACCTCCAAAGTCGCGTACTTGGTTTGTATTAGCGCACCTCTGTATTGAAGACAGAAAGGTAAAGGGCTGGTAGATCAAGCATTGGCATTTGCAAGAGCTACGATCTAATGTGTACTCTAATAGAATTGCCCCCAGCGTGTTGCAAAAAGTGTCACGATCACTTCCAAATACTCCGCAGGTACGGTTGGGTTTCATGTTAACCGTAAATGAATCGTAAGTCCTAGCTGGTCTTTCCACAATTAATTCCTTCACCGATTCCTCAATGATAGACAACGCTGGCCTTGTTTGGTGAACGAAAAGTAAGCTTAATAAACCCAGCCGCAACAACCTTAAAAGCATCCCTTTCGAATTCATTTTGTATTAAACAGGTTTCTTGATCAGACTTGAAATTTTGCCAAAGCTCGCTTTGGCCACCATAACAGAACGAAAGGTTTTCCACCTATTTCCACACCGGCGATTATGACGGAACTATTTCCTCGTCTGTCAGTTTTTCACTTTTGGTTGCTGTGGATCCGGATATGGGATCCGTTCGATATCCCATAACCCCCAAATTCCCGGAATGTGCGGGTTGGTGGGTTAACCGGCGACGGGGGTAATACCCCATGAGTCGGCCGGGTTGTCCAAAGCCCGATAAAAATAACCCAGGGTTAATGCGAAATTTGGAGTCAAAAGGCAATTCCAGGGGCAATTAAGTTTAATTCCTTTTGTCTACAATTTGATGATAAACGCTCCAAAAAGAAAAGAGAAAATTATTCGAGGAACTGCTTATTAAGAAAAGAAAAAGAAACCCGGATTTAAATTTAACCCCGGGATCCGTTCTGCATTCCCTGGCGCGGGGTTTTGCCCAAATTCTTTCAAAAGAAGATACTTATATTCAAAGGGAAACTATTTCCTGCCACTCGGCTTCCACGCGTAAGACAAAATTTGTCGACAAACCCAAGCCGTTTATTTCAGAATAAAGGAGAAAGAATTTTAAAACGATTCAAGTCAGTGAACAAGAGCTGCCACCTAAGGCGGAAAGACATACCTGCCAACTCTCCCGGTTTTCCCGGGAGTCTCAAGTTTTTCATCAAATCTCCCGATCTCCCGGTTAGAGCACCAAATCTCCCGGATAAAATGGACTTTTGAGCATTTCTGTGCTTTACTTGGAAATTTAGTCCATTTTTTTCACAAAATTCTAACTTTTTTTATTCATTGTACAGTTTCTGGGACATTTTTGCACATGTTTACTTAATGACAAAGATTAGTTCGTCATTACAATGATGAAAGCGCATTTTGATCCCATGTACGTCGTTTTTTTTTATGTAGATGATTATTTTCATTTTTGTAATGAGTTTTATATTATACAAAATATGTTTTCTACATAAGAAAGAAAAAACAATATTTTTATCTTGGATTAATTGTGATAGGGCAGAAATAATAATTAGGGGATTTGTTTTGGGGGGGGGGGGGAGGGGGGGGGGGCATGTGAAAAAATTGGGGGGGGGGGGGGGGGCTGTAGTGCAAAATAGAGAGTCTCCAGTTGTTAGATCTCCGGAGGTTGGCAGGTATGGAAAGATGATGTGCCCCCAGTGAGCTGAAAGTTGCTTCGTTACGGGTACCGTTGGTTTTCATCTTAACCGTAAATAAGTCGAAATAAACCAATCTCCTTTCCACAATTAACTCCTTCACCGATTCCTCAATGAACGAATGAAGGACAACGCTACAAGTAACGCTGGCTTTGTTTAGTAAACGAAAACACTTCAAAAGTGAGCTGAAGCTTAAAACTTGCTGCAATAACCTCAAGAGCATCCGCTTCGAATTGATTTTGTATTATTAGACTAGACTGTTCACAGTCCCCTATTTTTCCGTAGGATCGTCGAGATCGAGCGTTTTGCGTTACGGGCTGGCATCTTGCATGAGTGTCAAAACTACTTAGGGGGCCAGGGACGGTTTGGGAGGAGGCAAGAAAAATAGATTCTTGATCAGCTTTCGAGGACTGGGGGCGTTGGGATTTTCGGGTTTCGGTTTTGGCCATCTTTTCGGAGGCTTTTTGGGTTTTGTTGTCCGTTGCGGGTTCCAGCTTTTCTGTTGTTTACCATCTAGTTTTCGGTTTTTTGGCAAAAATAAAGCGGTTTTCCGGATTTTGGTCACCGATGTGCTTTTTTGGTTTTTCCAGTTTAGAAGGAGGTCAAAGACAGACTTGCACCGGCTCCCAATGTAGTTTTTGTGGTTGTGTCGCATTATCAACTGCCTTCAAGTTACATTTTTGCTCTTACAAGCATATCTTTTAGAGATTTACCTCTTTTGTGGGATATGATCGGAGGTCTTTTAAAAATTGTTTTCAGTAGTGATTGATTTTCTTTTAGACTTTGGTTTATGCCATCAATGTCTTTTTAAGATCTTGTACCGCTGGATGATATGTTGTAACGATAGGCAATAGTGTCTCTTAACTTCTTTGCTTTTGTTTTAGCGCCGATTGTCTTAAGTCAAAGTTGACCTCTGACAACGAGCTTTCTATATCTTTGTTTAGGATACCCGTGGGCTTCGTCACATCTTCGGAAGTCTTCGGAACATCTCCGGATATTATCGGACCCCTACGAAATGTAACAAGGTTGGAAGGGGTATAACAGCTGTTCATGAAGAGCGAGTAACGAAATGACAGAACCCAAAATAGTTCTTTCCTAAGGAAGTAATATTAATTTTTCGAGCTTAACATAGGCCTGGATGCCTTTCAGTCTCTCGTTATCTGCTGGACGCACGTTCATGTTTTGACAGGGAAGCAAGCATCGTGGCACCAGTCATATCATCTACAATTCCCGCAGTTTGTCTAAGCTTTACAAAGCAAAAACAAACAAAAAAGAATCAAGTCTCATAAATGAAAAAAAGGAAATAAGCTAGCCCAAGCTTCAAAAAACAGCACAGTTTATCATGAAGCCTCTACATTTGGCGCTGACGCACTCATGTCCAAAAATAATAACAGTTATCAAGTTGCAAAAGTGAGACTCAAGTGGTACAAGATTGTACAAGTTGAAAAACAATGTACTCTACCAAGCGACTCAAATGATAAATGGTGAATGGTTTAACTGCTTTAACCTGCTTTAACCGTAGAAAGGAGACCGGGCTAACTTTTAGGGCCTTTTTTCATGGAGGAGGGGGACCCAGGTAGGCGAGGTAACCCACTCAGGTGGGGTTACCCACCTGTCCATATCATCTCTTTTGTCAATTTGATCATGTTTACATGATAGGTGGGGTTACCCTTCAAGATGGGTAGCCTGGTCTGCTAGACGGGGTAACCCTCACAGCTGCGGTCAAATTTTGCCATGATGTCAGCGTTTCAAGGTGGGGTAACCCAAGCTAGTCGAGGTCAAAATTCACTTTGGCGGTGGCTTCAGATAATTTATTATTAAAGGTAACAATAGAAAGCCACGACACTGAAGGTTGCTGCAAGAACAGCAAATGAGTGTAGAAGAGCATTAATCGCTAAAACACGTGGTTTGCCAGCATTTATTTTTTCTTGTTTACGTACTTAGCGACCATTCAATAATCTTGAGAAAGTGCACCTCAGGATAGCGGGGTTGTAAGATTGCATGAAAAGGAGGGTTATTTTTTTACCCCACCTAAGCAGGTTACCTCACCTACCTGGGGTCCCCTACCTTTATGTTAACAGGCCCTAACTCTCAGGAATCTTGAAACTGGTAATAATCAGTATACCTAACCCGGGACTAGCTGTGATACTACGTCCATCTTCAATAACGTCTGCAAAGAAGCCAAAGGAGCCATATCGCTGTAACACGAACATTAGATTGCGCTTGTTTCATGTGTTTCGTTTTGCGACTTTTTTGTGTTCGTTTTTGTCACCATCTCCAAATGGGGATCTAACTAGGGACCTTGCGCATTGAAGGATGTGCACTAACCAACTGTGCCACCCTCCTCCTTCCCCGCCGAGGACGAGGTTGGCATGTTTTAATCATTAGGAAGCTTAAGCAATGGTGTTTTTTTTTGTAAATGACACACTTCGACCGGAAGTGAGATCTTTAGATCTTTTTCGTTTTAAAATGAATTCACACTACCAAATTTGTACTTCTTAGTCTCTTTCTTATTATAGAGACAATTTGTCCACAAATTTGGGCAAAAATACCACTCAAGAATGAATAAAGTCCACTTCCGGTTGACGTGCATCGCTTAAAAACGTCTTTGCTTAAGTTCCCTATTAACTCAAGGACAGGGTTACCAGCGAAGCAAATTATAATCTAATCTAAGCTGCACAATTACAAAGTGGGTAAGTTCTCAGTTACGGTTCAAGAGGTCGTTCATGTGGCATGTCAAAATTTAACAATATTTCCTCGTATTTGGGAAATGATGACCAAGATGGGATTCTATCGTGTAGGATGTGATATGTTTAGGTTGAATGTTATTGTATGACATCTTTGAAAGCTGCCTTTGTGATTTGTTTAAATTGATATAAAATGACATCATCTCTGCCGCACAGTGAACATGGCCACACTTACCGTGTGGAGACTGAGCAGTAGTCGGCGTTATGTACCTGTAAAACTATTTTGAACAGTGTAACAACAACTAAACATTACCAAATTAAAAACTTAAAAATTTGACACAGATGTTTTTTTTAGCCAAATCAAACAAAAAGAGTACTCACCACAGGGAACCCAATCTGCTATTATAGGTGAAAGTTACCCCCCCGCCTCCTTTTTATCTGCAATTAGGACCGTTTATAACGGTTATCCCCTCCAGTATTAATCAGCAGGTGCTAAGGAAGCTCTGTGCCACATTTGACACTTTTGTCACGTCTGTAATGATCCGGCCTATATTTTGCACTAAGAGACCTGACTATGCCGTGTTTTATTTGCGAAAACTGACTACAGCACAAAGATAATAGGGCCATTTATACGAGGAAAAATAAGACGCGTCTTACATAAGACGCGTCTTAAATAAGACGCGAACTGTACCATTTGTTTATACGAGCATGCCTTATCTAAGACGAGAACAGCTCGTATAAATGGTTCGCGTCTTATTTCTGTTCTTGACTCGTTTTCATGTAAATGTTGCCCGTAGCAACGGCAATCCAACCTGGCGCGCCAAAAATTAACGCATGCGTACTATGCGCTCGCGTCTTATTCGCGAAGGTCATTTATACGAAGTTTTTCTCGTCTTAACTAGCTAAGATGCGTCTCATCTAAGAACAGGTGTTAAGGGCTGTTCTAAAATAAGACGCGTCTTAGCTAAGCCGCGTCTTATTTTAGACGAAATGTGCCGTTTATACGGAAAGTTCGCTTCTTATTTAAGACGCGTCTTATTTTTCCTCGTATAAATGGCCCTAATGATGCAATCTGATGAATGCTAATATGATGTATGCT